TAGTTCCCCACAAAGTTTATCTGATGTCGATCTTGGTGATACAATGCAGAAATTTGATTTCATTACCGATTTATATATTCTGAACTTGACGCATCTACATGCACATCGGAACGGTGAATCTTGTAAAACAGTGCAAGACTTCATTAGTCTCGAAACGATTCCAAGATTACGTACACTTAAAGTGAAACATATGTTAGTTACGGATGAATTCTTAGAGAAAGTGAGTAACATGACACTAGAAAGTCTAAATTTTACTGGATGTGTTTTTCTCACTTTCAAGGATACTGTGCAACAATGGGAAGAAATTAAGGTAACTTTTGCAAAGTCTTATGAGACTATCTGCTTCGATAAGTGTCAGAGATGTGTGGAATACTGGTCATCTTATGCTCTATTTCCAAGGCACTGTATAGCGATCAGAATCAATCTAAATAACTGCGTAAAACTACGCAACCTGACGGTAAAAATGGGTAGATATATAAGTGTTATACTCAGTGACCAAATAATAGATGGTCCACGATATTTATCGTCAGATGAGATGAATTGTAAACTGCTGCTTTCGTCTTCTCAGTGTTATGGTGCTAGACTAGAATATTTAGTAATTAACATCAGGGATGTAGAGCTAGCTATTAAGTTTTTAAAGGAAATTAACCGAAGCAAACTTAAGCATTTAGTATTAATTTGTTATGAGATTAGATGTATTTGTGATGTTTGTGATATTTCAAATTTATTTAACCTAGATTTTGCCGCTCTTGAAGTTTTAGAAATTGATGCTGGCGGTAATGATTTGGAGTTGAGGGATAAGAGCACAATTGAAGTAAAAATGAAAAAGTTGGAAACACTGAGAATAAATTGCTGGTGTGTGGATGATCGACTAATCCAAATGATAACTGAGCTGGAAATGTTGAAACATCTTGAAATGCTTGTAAAAAGTTGGGATGTCAATTATGAACTTTTATGGAGACGACTGAGCAATTTAAAAGGACCAATAGAAAAACTCTTTGTTAGTTCTGATCAGACCATTAGTGAATTGGTAAGGTCGATAGAACCTTTGAACAAGCTAAAAGAATTTTACATAGACGGTAGATCCATATTTCCATTGTCTGATAGCCTCGCCAATCGAAATGATGATGAATTTCAACTTGCAAAAGTTGATCCGAACAAACAGAATTTGGTGAAGAGCAGGAATGTGGTGCATCTAAAACTCCACACTCTTCATATTGGCATAGATTCAGCTTATGAAGAATTAATCGAACTTATGTTGTGTCAAGATTCTGAAGCTTTCGCGGATATTAAGAAACTGGTGATATTTGAAGCACCAACAGATTCTTGGACAAGATTAGAAAGAATTCAGAAGTTATCAGAAATTTCGCCAGATCTGCTAAATAACTTGATCGAAAATATTTTTGAAACTTTCAACCAGCTTGATGTACTTGTATTCTGTTATAAGAGTTCTCGCATATCTGGAGAAAAGGCTCATATTCTCCGTAAGCTTTTTTCAGAGAAGTGTAGATCGTTTAAGGAGCGATGCGATTGGTCAGATAATTGCAATGAGGAACGAACCATTTTCGAGCTTCATAAGTAAAAATTAAGTTATTTTTCGATATTCTGGTGCTGATCATTTCTTTTTATGATTGTAATGATCTCAGGTCTCATTGTTCATGGTATTCAAGCAATCTACAACATATTAACGATATGAGCCAACAGCATGAATGATGCTATCAATCTAAACACAATGGATTGTGTCTCTTGCATATGATCAACGCCATTGCTGCAGAAAATTTGTTGATATGAACAATTAAGATCTTTGTTGGTTCGTAAAGCAATCTAAAACCGCTTGTGTTGAGGCCACCGCACGGTCATGTTAACAGTAATGAAATATTTACCAAAAGTAAGAGCTGGTATGATGTTGTAATCTATTCGAACATACTACGGATGACATGTCATTCAAGAAAGCAATTCGTACCGTATGTTGTGAGATAGTCTAACTGTCATGCACCGATAAAACGTGACATGTTCTAGATTTGCTAATTTCATGAATTCACCTCCATTGTTTTAGAAAATTGTTGCTGTTAATACAGCAACTGATGAGCTGCATTAATAAATGCATGTTGGCACATTCATGTTTGTCTACTGCCTGACAGATATTGACAGGAGAAAATGGTCGTTCTGTGAAAAGTATAAGTGAAAAATCGTTTAGCATCTTTTATAAATAATAACAATAAGTTGAGTATTGAGCACGCTTTCCTGACTGGGTGTTAGGTTACCAAGAATCACATTTATCTGTAGATCCCGAGAAGAAAAGTTTTTCGAGGAGTCGTGCAAATCACGGCTTGCATGTTAAGATCTCTGTTACGGTTGCAGTACACCTTTCTGTTATAGTGATGATGCACATAAAGATGTTGACAAGCTAACGCACTGATTTACCTGTGTACCAAGAGCCAGTAGACATGGTCAGTCTTGGCAGATTATAACAGTAAGTTGTTTAGATGATGTTTATATGAAAAAATGAACATACTTTTACTGGAAAAATTGCTGATTAACACAGCCAGCAAGCTCTTTAGCAGGTCTTAAGCTTCAAGCTGCTTTGTCCTGTATTTTGTTGAATAAACTGGATCAGTATATGACAGATTGGAGCAACATAAGATTCAAAATATGCCGGAAATTTCTAGGAAGGATAATATAATCTTTACCTAATAAATCTTTTCATTGTAAACATATTACCTTTACTATGCATCTTAGCATGGTAAGATAATTGAACAAAAACAGAACATAAAAATGGCTTGAACGTTTAATTAAATCTGCTAACTTTTGTTGTATCCACCATTTTGCCATGCACTACGTAGCTTTCTCTTTTTTTCTTTTTTGTCTCCTGATACACAAAAAAAAAGGAAAACCAAAAGGAATAAAAACGGAAATGCACAAACTCCTACAATGAGGGCAGCGTTACCCGAAACTGGTTCATATGCAGGTTCAATCGGTGCGAGGGTGGGAACATGAGGAAGCTCCCTCTTTGGACCAAAATCAATACCATTGACAATCGAAACACCTTGACAGTGTATATTATTCTCAGAGTCGATGCAAAATAATTCAACCAGCTCTATTGTGCTAGCATCAGGTCTTTTAGTACCATCATACGTGTCGCAATTCACAACTCCAAAATTATTTTTAGAACAGATCGCCTCGAAATTAACTGTCTTATCATAACCTAATGGTTGATACGGCGATTCCCCAAAACATTTCATGTGTTTACGATCAGTTTGGCAACTTGTTCTTAATCCAAATATTTCTTCGCTACTCGATTCAAAGGAGGACCTAGGTTCTGCAAAAGTGATAAAACCTTTGCATCTGTATTTATCTTTTTCAGTTTCTTTACATCTCACATCAAAGGTATCCGCACAGATAGACATATCCTTCTTATCGCGTAATAATATTCTACATTCAGCATTACCATCCTTTTTACGACATCCTGCGTAAAACTTGATCTTCTTGGAATGACTGCGTTCCGTGTTAGTCTGTGGTTCATGACTTAGCTCATTCGGATTTGTCACGCCATGTCCTACTTCCGATGTACTTCCAATACGGTCTTCTGCCACTGTGCCAAGAGTATGCGATTCATTACCATGTGTTAACTCCTCAGTATCCTGTTTATCCTCTTCTTTACTCTTTTCGGTGTTACTATTAACGTGTGAAGTGCTGTTACGTACCATTATAAGTTGTTATATTCATTTTTGCGGTGCTTAAATACTTTCAACGATATATTAATTAGCCATATACAAAAATATTGCATATTTTAGGTTAATATGCTCTATCGAGCAAAGAATTCGTATGCAAACACACAATTCGTGTTTAAAGAGTAATCAATGCTTGTACTGATTGATGAGCATTTTCTCTTTTTTTTAGTACGTGCGTATTGAATGGCTGTGAACACGGCAGTAAATTACGCTTTTATTATTTTGAATCACAATTAATGATATATGAGGGATTTTGAGAGTACTGTAACAATTAAATGAATTTAACTAAAATTTTAAAAAAGAAGAGAAAAAAATGAAAAGCAATAATTTGAATGAAAATACGTACGGTCTATCAAATTGTATACATACGTACAAATATTTTATTTGTTTTCCTGCTCTGTATTACTGGTTGAAAAAATGGCGTACTAAATTTAACTATCACACCTATTCCTTTTTGGGTTGATGCGATAAAAATTAATGAAGAAACTTTTAAACAACTTATACTCGGCTTAGGACAGAGTATAACATGGTTTTGTACCAATGTAGAATATTTAAGGCTGTACAATATTTTTAGCAGTAAATATTATTATTCTTTTTAGAAGGTGCTCATACTATTGAGGTAGTGTACCACTTACCACAACCATACGCTGGTACTGAACGCTTGTTTGTGATCTGCGCTACTGGACCTTAAGAATGGCCTTGTTATTAACGTTGAGAAGGCTTAGTATACGAAATATTAACTGTGTAATAAATTTTTCGATACTGTTATGAATTTATAGAAAGATTTGTGGTAGATATAAAAAAATAGAGATTGAAAGCACTTTCCTACAGATAAACCTTAAAGGTTGATTAAACATAACAAGTATTGTTGATTCTTCTCGCCGTGATGTATTTCAACTACAAGACGATTAGCTACGTTTTTTTGTTTATTTTAAATTAGTACGTGTTCCATACGACTTTAGACTTGAGACATTCTTAACAGAAATTAATGTTCTGAATAAAGAAAGAACAGCGTTAAAACATAATTGGTTTCCAGATGGCAAAAAAACTGGTAATCAAACAATGGAACCGATCTCTTCATTCACAGAGACCAGGTTCGATTTTCTTTTATCAGACAAATTTGTGAAAGTATTCAAATGATCCCCGCACAGTTATACTCGATGAGACATGCTAGCCGCAGAAAGTATGTTCAAAGGACAAGAAATATTAACCCGAAATAGCATGTGACAAACAGAGACGTTCATGAGGGGCTTAGGACAACCACCATTGCGAGATACTTTACAGTATAAGACTCAGGAACTTCCTTGATTGCCAGTGCATCCTTGACCTCCGAGACGGAATTATCTTCATAAGCAAAAAATTTCGTGGCTGTGGTAGGCTGCACACCCTAGGATTACAAATTGCTCACGACAATTTTATATAAAAATTACCACACTCATTCTATCAAACATATTTCTTGAAAATCTATACCAGCTATAACTTTGGTCATCAGCACCAGCAGCCTATTTTATACAATATTGTGCTGAGGTTGTGGAATAATATGCGGTTATCTCATGAGAGAGCATCGATACCTGCAATTATTCTTTAACTCTGTTCAGGCTCGCTATCGACAGACTCAAAGCTGAGAATCTCTGATAAACACAGCCGTTATATACCTATCACTACGAGTTGACACTTTTCATTTTTCTAATAACCACTTTTGCTCAACATAATACAGAGAGGCCCGTATAATTTCCTTTAATTTACCACAATTAGACTCATACACCCTACAAAGCACTCACATGGGCCAATGAACGTGAAAATTTGCCGAACCGTTCGTACTTGGATGTCACAACTCATATACACTTCAGCACTGAACAGCTTCATCCAATTTATTTTTGTGATATATTCACTCTGTTCATAAATAACGCATAAAAAGACAAAATTCGTAACCAACAATTAACTTTATATGACCAGTCATCAAAAACGCAGAACACAAGAGATGATAGAATCATAATCCAGGAGAAATAACATGCTTGTCACAGATAGCTAATTTGGTTCACTAAACAAACAGGTACTGCTGATTTTCAATATATTTAATAATTTCTATTTTCTCACTAACAGTACATTTATTTACCTTTTCATACCAAATTGCTATCACCTCACTTCAACATCAGGTCAAATATCCTCTTCACAAATATTAATGATCATTCTACGTTAGCCCTGAACACTCCATTCGTTGCGTATAAATTAATTTTAATCAACCATCTCTCTGGTTTATCAGCACTTATGCTCATCCTGCGCTTAAATGCTTTAATCATCGTTCATGACCACATTGCGCCCATGCTTCCTCTTCTTGTACCGTAAATCTTAGATTGGGCTGATAGGTATGCCACTTCCGTCACCACCTAGGATAAAGTCGATCACCTCATTTCTAAAAACGTATCCGTTACCTTCGCTCAGCACCATCCAAACAAACACAACTCTTCTGGTTCGCAGACCCGATCACGAACAGGCTCGTTCACTTGTAATTTTATAGCTGACCAAATAGCACGAAGATCTGCCTGTGTCATGTGCACGATGCCGCTCCTACAACCAAAAATGCGCTACCGCACTATGCACAGGATACGGCGCTTTTCATAGCTCAGAACAACAGAAATAACACGATTCTCATACCTTGAGATACTTCTCTGTACGCGTTCAACCAAAATGTACGAGATTTAGCTGTTATCTCAAGATAAAATGATAAATCGTGGTGCTACCGCTAACACGTGTGCAAGAAGATCGCTAATCAATCATCATTTATCCATAATTAACAATACGGCTCTACAAGCTCGTCTACAACTGCCAAACGGTTACAACTACGGCATTCACACTGTCATTCCAGCAATTCTCTCAGATGATGATTGCGGCTCTTACCGATGGCACACATCCATATTCTGATCTTGTACTCCTTGTACAGGTTCTTCACCAGCTCTCTAAAATCTATTTTGTACTCCGAGCTGAAGAAAAAGGTGAGCTTGTTCATGTCCCACTGATATTCACACTTGTCGATCACCATGTTCAGCATCTCGCTTTTAACCCGTGCTCTACAGTCCGCCAGTGCAATCTTTTCTTTCCTCGCCTTCAGCTCGATAATCTTGAGATCGTTCTCACCCGCCCGCCTGAAGATCTTCTTCGGGTGCAGCTCCTTGTTGCTCAGATTCTTGTCTATCTTGTATATCAGCGACACATACTTTTTTTTCTTGATCTTGGCGACCACCATTCCACAGTCCATTCCCCTGTCTGCCTCTAAAATGACAGACTCGCCCAACAAGTACGAATCATCCGCATACCCGATGTTCATTCTCCCAGAGTTGAACTCTACAAGATAAATGACCTCGTTCAGAGACTCGATTAGCTCTGCTGTGGTGGACGGTTCCTTCTTAGGGGAGAAGGGAGCAGTGCCAACGATGCGATACTCCTTCTCCAACCACGATGCGCTTGTGAATTGCCAGGGATTGTTTACATGGATGAAGAAAAACGAGGATTTCATTGCTATTTTCCCGATTGAAGGGCACGAATTTTTTCTTTTTTATTGCCATCAAAATAAAAACTGTTTTAGAAATGAAAGAAACTACACGTTTTAACTCTGCAGTGGTTCTACACAGCATAAGACTTGCCATAAACAGCAAATGCCGCTTTTTTTCGTTCCAGGACAGGCTGTGTTTAGAATTATAAAAATGGTAAATTTTAAACACAATTTCAAAAAAGGTTATTAATTTATAATTGTAAAGCCACCTCTTGTGCGCGTTTACTGCCGTATTGCTGCGACCTGAGCGTATGTATCGCGAGCACATCATCTGTTTTGTCCACCAATATTCTCTTTCTGTCTTTTTTTCGCCGAATGTTTTTAATCTGCAGTTTTTTGGCTAAATTTTGGAATGCGCTGTCACATGTCAAATCACAATTAAATTTAAAACGATACTCACAATGCATTAGATACGGTGCCTTGCTGTGCTTGGCCCACAACATGTGCCGGCCAGGCATGTTTTTTACACTTAATTTAATTATCACGTTGGTTACTCCTCATTTCACCGTGCCATACCGCTCACAGACAGAGCTCAGCCAAACGTTTACAAATTTACATTTGCCCATCAAATATTGCCGTGATCCTCATCTACGGCCACGATCACAAGCACACACATCGTTTCATCGCTACAAGAAGCAACAGCATGCGCAGATTCTGAAGGGCCTGCAGCTCATAGAGCAATTGCGTTTTTGTGCCGTGCTCACCATTTTTACCACCCGGTACCAATCAAAAACGGATTTACATAGAACAGTCTTCTGCGAGAGCACTTCTACGTCAAGATGACACTTTGTACCTTATATGGTAATAAGCATCGTGTTGCCCATCACATGCCATGTTTCCTGCACAGACACCCCGTGAGATACCCCACATTACCAGCATAGCACATTCATCCCAGCCCAATTCACAGTCCTGTGAATTACCAATTAATACCCCCCTCCCATCCATTTCGTTATTTTTCATCCCAACCACATACCCTTACCACCTCATGTACATCACGAGCAACAGCACGATAATCCCCCAAACTGACATAAAAGTGGTAGGAAAGGTAACAAAAATCGATTCTCCATTCATTTTCCTTCAGTACAACGGCAGCACCGTAAAAATAAAATACAATAATTTGCACAAGTACACCAAAAATACGTTGGTGGTCACGGGCACATACAGTGATGGTGTGCTTGAGGAGAAGTATGTTGATGAGCTGGATGATGAGTTTGATGAAAAGCTGTTTTACAGGGTGGTAGGTGCTATGGAGAAGTACAACGATGTTTTTTAGGTAGTAAATTATTGTTTGATGTGCTTGTACCATTGGTTTTGCTTTATTCATCATTTTATAATAATTGTTTGCGGTGTTGGTCTGAACATGCTAAATTTAAACATTTTATAATAATTGTTTGCGGTGTTGGTCTGAACATGCTAAATTTAAATTTATCTGCCATATCACGCCGTTTATGGCTGCCCCTCAGCTGCTTTTGTAACTGCCTGTTTAATTAGCACAGATAATGAATCGTTATATCACGGTCAATGCTTGGTCCCTTTACCGCTAACAATTCAAGACGGGGTAAAAACAAGGTTGCCATTCGTGTTGCACTGAACAGGCCTGCCAATACGCACCGTATTGTTGCTCAGTGATCTACGATTACATCGGTCTCAGCACATAATTTTATTTGCGCACACCACACATACCGAGCGATAGTTCGACGGTTGAATGTCAAGCCTTTGGCACTTCAAGAGTGCATCAAGCTTACGATAAAGGAAACATAAATGTTTTGGTTGTTATTGCAGTGATCGTACACAGTACGATCACCAGAGTTTAGCCTTTAGTATTTTGGTTTGTTTACGTTCGTATTTTTGTTTAAACCATGGCCAGCACCTCACCATATTATTCTTGTACTCGTCCTTGTTTGTCATCTTGACCGTGCATTCCATGTTAGAGCTGCAGAGTGGTAATTAATCCCTTTTAGTATTTTTATCTTTTTGCTTCATTTTAGTCTTTCTGTTCCTTCCGTTTGTATCAATTATTCGTCCCATTTTTATCGACCCTTCTGTCCCAATTCCCCTCAATGATTAATCGCGTTTGTTTACCGTACACCCATTCACAGCTCACCCCTCGTACCCTCCCCACACAAATACCTCACCCCCCCTTCCCATCGCACCATCCACTAATAAACACGGCCACCATAAACATCCTATCCCATCACTCATCCCTAACAGTGTTTCAAACAAAATATAAAAAAACATCCAAACAACAACATTAAATGAAGGAAGAGTACTACACCCTGGACCTGAGCAAGAACAACCTATCAGAGATACCAATAACGTACAGGAGGGTGCACTGGCTCATCCTAAGCAACAACAATCTCATCAACATAAAAAACATTCAGTACTACAAGGACGTGACCAGGCTCGCTCTGAACGATAACTACCTGATACGATTGGAGAGCGGTATCAACGCGCTTGCAAATCTCAACTGGTTGGATCTGACGCGCAATAGGCTGAGTGAGCTTCCTTTCATCAACCTAAAGAATCTTAATGGGCTAGGACTGTCCGAAAATAATTTTGACAGGATACCGAGCTGCGTGTTTAACCTGATTAATTTGCGTAAGTTCGGGTTCTTTAGCAACAGATTGAAGGTGATAAGTCCGCTTATAGGCAATCTCATCAATCTCACGAAGCTTGATCTGAGCAACAATCACATAAAGACGTTGCCGAAGGAACTCTTCGGTCTGAAAAAACTTACATGGCTCAATCTGTCAAATAATCAGATAAAATCGGTAGATGGTATCAACAATCTGGTGCAGCTCGAAGAACTGGGCCTAGGAAATAACCAGATAGAGGAGGTTGATATCACGTTGAACAATCTTAAGATACTGCCACTCTTCAACAATAAGATACAGAAGATACGCATCAGGATGTGCAGAATAGAAAAATTAGACTTTAGCGACAATCAGATCGAGCATTTCGACTGGCGAGTGCTTGAGTGCAAGAAATTGAGGTACCTCAACCTGAAGAATAACAAGATTAAGGAAATACGGCTTGAAGAGAATGAGCATGTGGGGTATTGCTACGGATACGTGCGCTGTAACGGTATAAATTATGGGAATGGTACTTGTAAGAGGGACGGGTATGGTTACAGCGGGAGAAAGGCTGGGGATAGGTGTGGTAGAACGGGCGGGTGTGTGCTGGGAATGGGGTACGGTAAGATTTGTGATCGGGTTCAGAACGGGGGTTGGGCTGATGACCGGGCCAAGGACAGAGGTAGAGGTGATACGTACGGTCGAGAGCACAAAGGTGGCATACACCGCTATGAATACGGCGGTGAAGTGTACAATCAGAGCAGTAGAACGTACCAAAACAGCAAATCATACAAAAATAGTGTAAATAGCAAAAAAAGTACGAACAGTGATAGCAGCAGCACCAGCGACAATCACAGCGGTACCACGTACTACAGCAGATACAACGGTTATAGGCACAATTTCAACAGTGTACACGAAAAATACGGCAGTGCGGGCACAGCCACACACAGCCATACAGGCACAGCCACACACAGCCATAGCAGCACAGCCACAGATCGCAAGAACAATTACATCCCGCTGTTCACCAACACCGCCAAATACACACATTACTCCACATTCTACGATCTGTCCGTATCACCAAACCTATCCGTTCTAGACCTAAGCAACAACCACATCCCATACATGCCGTTCAGCTGCTACTTCAAGCTCAAACACGTTAACACGCTGAGAATGAACGGCAATAAATTTGTGAGAAGTGAAAACGTGAGCGGTGGTATTGGCACGTTAGGGGAGTTGTGTTTCAATGGGATCGTTAACAGGGACAGGAAGAATATGGCGGGAGTGGATGGTAGCAGGGATGTGATTAGCAGAGAGCTGATCGGTGGGAATAGCGTTGGTGATTTTGGGAGTGATGGTGCGGTAGGAACCAGCAGTACTTGGTCCAACAACCGTACCACCGCGTACAGTGGCAGTACTAATGCCGGTTCCGCGTATAGCACCCGCATAAATCTCAATGCCAGCACCGATGCAAATGTCAGCACCACGTACCTCCCAAACAACTCATCAATCCACTTCAACAAAATATCCTTCAACTGCTCGGAAGATACCAATCCCATAAATCCCACAAAACTAAAGAACAAAAGACAGTGCGATACGTGTCTAAGGTACTTCATCACCGATCCATTCATAAAATACATGGAGTACAACGATATTGTGCTTATGTTCGTGCTGTGCAGTGTTAAATGTGGTAATGGATTCGTCGACAAGGGGTAAGTAAAGGGTTTACGCGATGGAATGGTGTGTGTTGTTAAGCGGGGGCGGGCGGAGTGCTACATGGCGTTGTGATCTGTTTGATGGGAGTGGTTTATTCGTTGTATGTGGTAATTGCTCGGATTATTATCAAATACGGCCGGGTGTACCGTTTGTGCGTATGGCCAGGGTAACAGTTGGCGACTTATTAAACGCGTATTGCCATCCTTTATTTGCAGCGGCACTCGAAACGCGATCATGCTCGTATTTACCGTTCGATATTTTACCACTCATCGCCTACCAAATTAAACTGTTCTATGTTTGAGATGCTCCCTGTATTTCTCATCCATTTCTTGTCATACGCGTTTCAAACGTATCCGACACAGTATGTTGCACGTGGAGAGATCATGTGCAGAATGTTTCGTATGTTTGACGATCTGCTCTGTGCTGTACGTGATCTTCCATGTTTGTATGCATTTTTATCAATGTCTGGCATTACAGTGCGGTTTGTTTTATGGACTAAGGATTATTAGCTGTTGTTCACGTTTTTGTTCATCAAATTCACATTTTAACGTGTCTAGCACGCCCCAGTATCAATCCTTGTGTTCAAGTATGAATCTAAAATACGGACACAATAAATGTTATTGAATGGCACCCTCTCGTTCGAGCTGATACCAACATCCCTCCCGGTTAAACAATTACCTTACAATTACTTCTTTATTTAGTATTCACGCCAAACCACCTTTTAATTATACTTGAATCATCCAGTGCTGCCCTTCTTAGCTCCACTCTTAAAAGTGGGAATCCCCTCAGCATTCATCAGCTCACCTCGTTTAATCGCATCTGATATTTCTTCTTTCAACGTGCTGTTCAGCAATCGTAGCGTAGATTCGGTCTCTTCTGGTGTAAGCTCGCACAGTATTTTGGCAAGGTAAAGCAGGTTTATGAACATTTGATGGCATGTGATGATGTTTTTTATATTTATTTTTGGTGTAGATTTGTTTTACCGTTGATTGGAAGGAAAATTTGTTTTGGGAACGGATGTGAAGGGGAATATGATGGTGTGGTACGGTGCAGAATGAGGGTTAGTAATTGGCAATGGAAAGGGATGAAAATGAGGTGTGTGATAATTGTAGGGGCATGTATTTGGATGGGTGGGATCAAGGGGAAAAGATGTTAAGGGATGAAAATGAGGTGTGTGATAATTGGAGGGGCATGTATTTGGATGGGTGGGATCAAGGGGAAAAGATGTTAAGGGATGAAAATGAGGTGTGTGATATTTGGAGGGGCATGTATTTGGATGGGTGGGATCAAGGGGAAAAAATGTTAAGGGATGGGGGAATGATCGAGAATGCAAAAATGAAATTGAGGTGCGATAAATTATAAATAATGAAGCACGGGAACGCTCAAACACCTGTGATGGTGCAGTAAGAGCGAAGTTGTTGAGAAGAACCATGCGGGACGGAACGACTAGAAATGCCTGCCACGCTTGCACAGCATACGCGGAGGATGGTGCAAACCACAGAAAGAAGGCGTAGATAAAAAAATGTGATGGAAGTACATCAGTGCCTTACAACTCGTTACAGATACACACCACTCATTGCGCTATCTATCCGCACCATCAATCTGCCACACCACTCATCCAATAACCCGCATCATGCCCATCCTTTACGCCATATCAAACAATTCATTACCAATTTTATTAACATTTCCTCTTTCTAAACAGCAATACATGCCTCTCAGGCTTATGTATCATGTAATGCTCCCATCCCACACTCATCTCAAGACCAAGCGCACGCCACTCGCTTTCATCTAACAGCTTTTCCGGAAGCGATTTGATCGTAGATTTGGGAATTATTACGTGTCGATAGACGTAATCCTTGGTTTCGTAGGGATCTGAGTAGAATATTTTTGGATTCTTCATTACGGCTGGGTGAGAGGGGTACAGTGCGATATATGGAACGCGTGGCGAGGATGAGACATAGAAGGGGTTGCACTGGTAAATTAAACGAGCTTTCGTTTTGAAAACGGGGGAGTGTGGCGTGGAAAGACCAGAATTGTGGGATGGAAATAGCGTAGAAAGAGTGAGAGCAGCGCATATGATGAGCAGGTGGATTATAATGAAGAAAATGGAATAACGTGCAGGACAACAAGTTGAGTAATGAAGCAGTGTTGGTACTAAAAATGAATTGAAGAGAATACGAACAAAAGACAGGGTTCAAAAATAGCAGAAATATTTCAAAGTTTGTTTTTTCTCACAGGTTGGAGTATTCGTTCATCTCTGAGCAAATTATGCTCTTCACGGTGCGGTGAGCATACAATATTGCTATGTTTTGCACTTCGTGCATTTTATCATTCCCTCGAAAAACGTACGTAAATTAAACACAACCATTCCTGCATACAGAATTACGCACAACAACGTACACGATTACGAATTGTACCTCTGTCACACATCCAATGATAATTGAATCCATCACACCAACATGTGATATACCTTACCAAATTAAATTTACGCTGATATATTTTCCGCTCCATGTCTTAAGCATTAATTTTTCTTCTGCTATTTTTATATCAGCTGTTTATTTCCTGCACCACATCGCTCTAGAAATATTCCTCAGCCCGCACGTCATTATACTTTAATTAGCACCCGTAGAGACAAACACGTAAATAAACACCAATCGGGACAGATTGCGTATATTCCACAGCAATAACGTATATTTAAATAAAATTACGTGCATGTAGCTTATCATGCTCCTCGACAGCATTGCCATGCGCACAGAAGTAATTGCACTGCTGACCAACGGATGCAATATTTTCATACAGTTCATTGTATTCGGTCTGATTCTCATGATAGAGAAGATGCAGCTGGACCAGAACGCATACATAGAAATATCCATCACGATGCTGTTCGGCCACGTATTCTTCATAGACGGTGTTCTGTCTAAGAACATATACCAGGTATGGTCGTACTCCATCTTTCTAGTCTATCTGTGCATCATGATAATACTGCGCGGCTTTAGTGATGTCAGCACGATTTTCTTCATATTTTTGGTAGTGTTGTGGTACGTTCTGCTCGTGACCAATATCATTGTGAACTTGATATTCTTTCGCTTTCTGTTCTACGAGTTTGCATGGTCCTCGTATGCGCTGCTGGGCGCAAATACGCGGATAAACGGTAAGTGTTCCTTTCTAATTCAGCCGCATACAAACTGAGACAGCAGATATACGTTCTGTTCAAAATGCACTTGATATACACCATTATCATATTCTGTCTGTTACCGTACATAGAAAACGCTGTGGACATCGTATTTCTTATCGGCACGTATGTGCTCAGGGTGATAGCCATTCTGCTATTTCTGACGTACGAAAGTGCGCAAATATCATCACTACGTATCCTGCACCTGGTGATCAAATGCACAGACATCGTAATCATTGTTGCAAGAATTGTACGTGCACCTATCATAGGGTTCACTGATGCGAAACGGTATGTGATCACGCTGTCCTTTGATCTGGTTATCAACGTTGGACTGGCCATCCTATTGTACCGTGGTATGCAATCGTTCAATATCAAGTTGAGCGAGGAAATAAAGAAACTGGAGAGGAGCAATTTAGTAAAATTACCCTGAAGGATATTTTGCTCAGAATGGCACGTGTTTTTTACAAGAATTGGTTTAAATGGCTTCGTTATTTTATTGGTGGCTGCTATAACATATCTCTTGATGAAACGAGGGCGTATTCGGTTATTTATAAAACTTCATTCTGTCATTAAAATTATACATTAACTATGTCATATGCTAGCAGTGCAGTATGTATAATTATATTTGATTGTTATGTCAGATGGTGTAACACATAAGATGTGCATACTTGGCCTAACATTTCATGTCTAGATGGTTATTCGGGCGGTCCACATGAACTACATAGGGAGTTCAGGATTGAATTCTCCTGCGTAAAAACGTGAAACTAATGCAGATTTGATAGAAAGGTAGACACGAGCACAGTGCCTAAAACGAGCAACATAGCAAACTTTTATGTTCTTTTGTTAGCCCAGATATTGTTGATGTGTGCGAATGAGTTTAGCTGAGGCAAATTTAGTGAAAATTACTTCTTAAGCACTGCTATGATTGGGCATATAGAACAGATGGATAATACGGTGGAAAGGATTTTGAACTACCTGTATCAGAAAAGGATAGAAATTATACGGCATAGCGGCATTGTGTAGATCAGAAACATAAGTTCAAAGATTAAAAGGCTCTAACTCATCAAACAGATATTAAATGGTGATGTGAATCAGGAGTACCGAGCCTTAAGTTGTTGGAGCGAGCTTGAACAACTACTATCGGTACCAGCGCACTTACAGGAGGAATCATAGGTTTTTCTACTGTACCAACACAGAATTGTGCAAGAATAAGCTAATGGCTAGAATGAATTCCAAGAAGCATATCTTACACAATAGGCCTGTGCTGGCAGTATTAGACCGTGCCACTTTTAAAAATCTGCATTTCACTTTTCTTTAGCTGTTCTCTTTGGTTGTACAGCGTTTGGCCGAGCTAAGAAATCTATTAATGATAGTAAATCGCGTCTTTTTATATTTA